TAAGGATGTTCAAATCGAACAACAGCAACACCCTTTGAGCGACCTTCATCGTCTTGTTTTACCGTGGCATGAACAACCCTTCCAGCTTGTTTGAAAATATCTTTTACTTTTCTCCAGTCAACAGAATAGTCAAGATTGCTAACATATAGGGAATCCGTTATTGGTCCACGAACACCCATGCTCTCCAACATATTTGGAGTCAAGTTAGCCACAGGTGGAGCACCCAAATTGCCAACACCGTAGTTGCGATCCAGCGGTGGCATTCCAGGACCAACATTTTGCGGTGGAGGTGGCATTCCCATTTGTCCCATGGGGCCTTCCATAGAGGCGTTTGTGGGTCCATCAAACTCCATATTTGCCATGCGCTCTTGATCACGCAAGGTTTCTTCCCTCACGATAATACGACGACCTTCGATTTCGTAGCGATGCATTTTTTCAATGGCCTTTTCGGCCCCCTCGATAGTCTTGAATTCCATTAAACCCATTCCATTAGGGCGCCCATTAGTTTTCATCAGACGTAGATATCCAGAAAACCCAACCTGATCGCGGAAGATTTGTTTTAACTTGTTCCAGGTAATGTCGTAGGGAATATTTGCGATAACAACTCTCTTAGAAGTGATCTTTCCTCGACGAGGAGAATTACTTCGAGAACGAGAGCGTGATCTACAACACGAAGCGATTAAATAGATTCCGAGCAAAAATAAACAAATAAAAATATGTAAACAACATACGTATTCCCACCATTCCGTTGCTGAGCCGGCGACATCTTCATACTTTAAAGAAGCGGTAATGGGTGCCAGAAGTTGGCCGATTAAACAAAGCAAATAAATAATCCCTATTTAAAGAAGACATTTACAAAAACAAAGAATAAAAAATAGATTTAAGATATAATTTTTATAAAATATAATTTTAGGTATATTTTCAGTTAATAGTGTTGCAGTCCACAAATTTTTACTCTAACGTGAATATATTTCATAGTGCTTATCTGAAATGCCATTTCAAAAGGCTCAATTCTCCTATCTTTTTCAACCTTTCTGAAAACCGTGATTTTCTTAAATATAGGAAACCCATAAAAGTTCACTTAGTTACATTGATACATTTTTGTATGCTGACTAAAAGAGTTTGGAAAATATTTATTTATTTCAAATAGCAGGGTTTATGATATTTATCATTAGACCTTAAACTTTCACTTCAGCTTCCCCCAATGGTGGGGGTACATGTATAGCAGTTAAGTAATGGCAGTTCATTAGCCGTCTTCTTGCTTCCCAGTATCCCTGGGTTTCCGACGTTGTCTTTAGAGCTGGACATCGAATCAGGTGGCTCTTCTCCATTTCCTCCTGTAAGTTTCATAGGGGGCAAGTGGGATGGGTGTATACTCCTAATCTGTGAAGGCGTTTCGCCAAGCAATCGTGTCCGGTACGTAGTCCGAACTCAGCAACGGGTTAGATTCTTGGCCTGTCCATGCATTGCAAAATCGTTGTCCCATTTTTAGCAAGTGTGTTAGCAAGCTCATTGCCTTTAATGCCACAGTGACCAGGAATCCATTGTAGGACCACTGTTTTGTTTTTCTCTCTCAGCAGCTCATAGAGTTTTCTACAGCTGTTTCGGGTGGCTCTCTCTCTTTCCAATTGAGTTTATTGCTGACTGTGAGTCCGAAAGTATCACCACTTTGGTGAATTTCGTATCCAGGCAACA